CAGTATGAGAATGGCACCAGAATGAGAATGACGCCAGAATGAAAATGGCGCCAGTTTGAAAATGAGGCCAGGATGGGAATGTCGCCAGGGTGAGAGCGACACTAGTATGAGATTGGCGCCATGAGAAGTGTGGCGCTAGTCGAGTGTCACGCCAGTATGAGTTTGATGCAGAAATAATCATGTGTTTGGTTTTGTGTTAATTGTCATATAGCTACTATTCGTTATTTACTTTCGACTGGTGTCGTTACATGTAATCAATAATAAGTATACACGTCTGAAATTGTATTACACATCTACACACACACACACACACACGCACGCACATTCGCGCGCACCCACATACACATCACTTGATACTTATGTATTTTCTTGTTATCCTGTCACCGCCCTCTTCAAAATGTTACATGTCATACATTATGAATGTTGTTATGACCTATACTAAACAAGACTTTTGCTACTCCTAAATATATCTCTTGACGCAAAGTGTCCATACAGCTTTAGTCTTTAGCCGGGATCAATGCAACCATTTGTTGGTCTGCTCAGAGTCGATGATTTGCCTGAGTGTCCTTGAAAGAGACCATTTACAAATGGGGATTAAAGCTTCTTCGATCATTGATTTATCACTTCCGGAGCATTTACAGAGTACACGAGACCGTAGCATGTCCACTTCCGAAAAAACATGGAGGGCGCGACCCGTCTCACACTTGTCAGAACCTTTTTTTTTTCAGATGCATCGTTTTTTTAAAGTTTTGTTTACCTTTCTTAGTATAGTATTAATGACTGCTTTGAGAGAAATAGTTGTTTTTATACGCTCAAGGGAAGGTTAGAATTGTGCTATTACCCGAGGCGTGCCGAGGGCAATAGCCGAATTGTAACCTTCCCGAGAGCGTATAAAAAAACTATTTCTCGAATATTAAAGCAGTCATTAATACTTTTATATGCCGAAAAAAATAGACTAAAAAAAAAAAAAAAAAAAAAAAAAACTTTTGTCGAAGATGGGATTCGATCTCTTGCGTACAAAAGGTGATGTAACTAAAAACAATTTGGCACGAACTTAGATCAAGATCTATCGGCAGAATGATGTTGTTTTTTTTGTTTTGGAAGTTTATTTTCGTCTTCATGTCAACAATGCAAGATAAAATTGTCGGTAAGATCGATCGAGATTCAATTGTATTGAAATAACCGACCAATTCTTCGCACACGTACGGTATCCTCGATCGCTCAGACCATTTTTTAACATGTAAACCTATGGGGTAACCATGGAGACTGAACTATTTTCCTGGTAACCATGGTTATTAGGATTTTAGAACTGTTTAACCATGGTTACTGGGAATTTTCGGGAACAGTTAAAGTTTATGAATGCAATTTCGACCAATCAGATTGCTGGATTACTTAAGTGAGGTATATAATTGATCTTATTATGTTTACTTTTGTGTAAAGGAATAAATAGTTTTAAATAAATTGCTATTTTTCTCATCACTTCTCATCTCACCTCTTGCTCCCACTCCCACTCCCACTCCCACGCCGGATGTTGATGCGTCTGTATCTTTGTGTGTGTGTGTGTGTGGGGGGGGGTAGCGGTGGGGTGGGGCGTGATGCTCTTGATTTTACATTTCATTCAATGATCAAGGGGGCCTTAGGAGACGTGCCAACCTTATGTCACATGGCCCCAGGTGCCCCCCGTGAACAATTTGCGAAAAAAAAGTTTCAAGTGATAGTTCAGTGTATGGTAACAGAACGTAAGATCTGTTTTTACTTAGAATGTCAAGTCTGAGGCAATAGGTCAAACCTTAAAGTGATGATAACAATGATAATACTAATAATGATAATAACAGTGATAATCAAATTTCATTTTATTTTATTTTATTTTATTTTATTTTATTTTATTTTATTTTATTTCAACACGGGTCACTTGCTTCAGCCAACGGCTGTACTTCTGCAAGTCCATGCATACACACACACACAAAAAAAAAAATCACATACACAATATATACAATACTCAATAAAACGCATTACAAATTAAACAGTACAACAATAAAAGAAAAGCGGATTTAAAATAAATTGAATAAAATACGAAGAAAATAAACAACATTTTTTATCACTGAATACATAACATTTTGTTGGATTGCTTTGGAGCTTCTTGATATAAATTATTTTGTAGGCAACTTGAGCATCTCTTAGAGATGATTACGCATGATTATGTGTGCTATATAAATATTGTCATTATATCATCGATATTATTATTAATTTCAACTGGAATTTCGTATTTAAAGGTTATCTGTGCTAGTTTATAGGAGGGATGAGACTACCCTGCAAGGTCACTGGACAGGTGGTTATCTCTTCAACTCAGCTCCCAATTAACATAAGAAAAAGAGGATCATGGGGCACCAATGGTCACCGATTAGGCATTGTTTTCTATATAGAGGGAGCTAGTAGCTGTTAGGACAGTCTGGCTTAAATTGTTTCGTAAATATCGTCACAAAGTATCTCGTCTGAGACAAATTTGGTGAAGTGTTTACGCTGGATGGATATTTCTTCACTACAGCTGAAGAATGATAATCGTTACAAAGTAAAAGGGCTTCCATCAATGTCCTTCTCAAAATCTGCAAGCCATCATAATGGGATGATGTACTTTCTACGAACTAGAGAATAAATCTATTGACGGACAACGGCTTAAGAAGTCTTTCAATCGCACGATAATCCGCTTACGCGGTTTCGTTCCGACGTGACTTGTAAATCGATTTTTAAATGTTCTTTGAGTTGTTTTGTCATGGTTTTGTGTATAATGATGAATCATCCGTCCTATCTTGTTTAAAACGGACGGTAAAGTTTGACTTGCAGCTAGCAGAAGCCGATTTTCAGTTCTTGGTAGAAAGTACGCTTAGAGCTAAAAGGGCTTTGGCAATAAAATTAATTAAGATTTAAGTTACGAATTAAATACTCTCAGCGTTTTACATACCAATATCATTGGGTTGATACATGACGACAAGGTTTACTGAAAACTATGAAAAGCAGAGCAAAAAAAAAAGAAAGAAAAAAGGAAGAAGAAAGGAGTATAAAAAGAAGAAATAAGAGGAATGAGTTTGGGGGAGGTGGAGAAGAAGAAGAAAAAGAAGAAGAAAGACGCTAAAGAAGAAGAAGAAGAAGAAGAAGAAGACGACGAGCAGTAATAATAATAATGATAAAAACAACAACAATAATAATAATAGTATTATGAAGGAGAAGAAGAAGACGAATAGTAATAATAATAATGATAATAACAATAATAATAATAACAATAGTAACGTGAAGAAGAAGAAGAAGAAGAAAAAAAAAGGAGGAGATGATGAAGAAGATTATGATGAAGAAGAAGATGATGACTGTAGGCTAAGATGAAAGCCATCGGAAATATCACAATTAATCTATGTAAAGATGATAGCCAAGACGTTTCGCTATTGCATTCAAATGATTAGAATCTCCCGGAAGTTTTCTTATCGGCTCTTTTAAAAAACCGTTTTGTCACTGTCATCATCTTTTGCGCAATCTGCTTTCAGATTTCAAATTTCAGATTCCATCGGTGATTGAAATAACCATACTACGAATTAATGATCAGTTCCGATTTCAAATAAGAATTGCATGAGAGGTTAATGTTGTTGAGGATGATGATAATGACATCAACAACTAAGACAATTATGATGATTACAATAATAATAACGACAATAAAAGCAATAATTTGATAATGGTAATACGGACGATGTTAATGATGATAATAATTACTACTACTTCTTCAACTTACTTTTACTAGCCTGCTTCTAATTTCATCATCCTAATGATAGTGAATCAATAAAATCTATGTATTTAAGATTTTTTTTCTTCAAGGCTAGCATATTCCAAAGGACAGGACATTTTCATGTATCGGGCAACCCCGTACATTGATTTGGAAAAAAAAAAAAAAAAAAAAAAAAAAAAAAAAAAAAAAATCGCCATACAATCTTAATAGACGTCTGGAATATTAATTCTAAAAGCAACTAGGAAGTATATTTTGGTACATAGGTTTACTTAGGAAATTAACATGTGATGTAACATTACTCACACTCTGTCTACGGTAAAATAGTACTATGAATGATCTACTTATGTGAATATGAGAGGCAGAAAGCAGCCGCCGTTAGTATACCCTTCCGATCTGAGAAGTTAGAGATAATTATGATGCACATGTGATCGGAGAGATCAATTTGAGAGATATAAAGAGAAAGAGAGAGGGGAGAGAGAGAGAGAGAGAGAGAGAAAAGAAAGAGAGAGAGGGATAGAGAGAGAGAAAGAGAGAGAGAGAGAGAGAGGGAGAGAGAGAGAGAGGAAAGAAAGAGAGGGATAGAGAGAGAGAAAGAGAGAGAGAGAGAGAGAGAGAGGGAGAGAGAGAGAGAGGGAGAGAGAGAGAGAGAGAGAGAGAGTAACATATACATGTTTATAAATACAGGGGTGAGGAAAGATGAAAGAGGTAGCTGAACTTCCTGACACCTTTACAATTTCCAGAGACGCCGTCGAAATGTTGTCAAAGTTGAGCATCCTCATTTTTTAAAAATTTTTAAATATTTTTCACTAACATCATGTAGATGACTGTATGATTAATTTCCAAATTCTAGAAATTCCCACACGAGACCTGTAATTTAATAGGGAAAAGAGATGAAAATAATATCACATATGCGTCCAAAATTTTGTTCAAGGAAGAATTTTATTCACGTTTTACGTATAATGGATATTCCTACACCAGTGTATCGGTATTAGCGGGATATCAACTTACATAATTATTTGTGTCCGAGTCAAAAACAAATGCAATCAAATTACAATTTGAAACGGGTATGCGTTATTAGACTAATATATCTATTCTCCTTTCATACGTCTCGCCGACACTGGACTGGTCTATTCATTAACATGGCCATAACCTTGCACGCTGTGAATAGACTTGTGTAAACTGTCTTCTCCTCGTCGAGTATACTATACATGCGACGTTCACAGTCGTTTCATCCCGTACGAAAACGGTGGGCGACGCTCGATCCCGCGCGCCGCGAGAAATCATAAAACCGAAGATTGATTAAGAAAATTTGGAACAGTGGAACAGTATGGTTAGATTGCCCCCAAGCGGTTTTCTACAACGCATAATGAAACACGGGGTTTTCATGGTACACGACGCACAACGGTAATATTTCAAGCAGAGGATATATGATTATTATTCCATATTCGCTTTCCGTTGTCGTGTTCGAGTACAGTGCGAAAACCCGCACCAGGAGAGCGAAAGATTTATCGTTCACGACTTTGTACATTGACCAGTGATCAATGTTTTCGTGTGGGTTGAGGGTGCATACTTAGGAACCCTCCTGGCTGAGTACTTATACCAGTACATTCTTTTTGTGAAGCGAACTGGAATATAACCTCGGAATATATAGTTCACTGGTGGAATATATCCCATTTCGGAGGCACCCCTTTGTTGGCTATGAGCAAATAAAGGTCTACACGCTTGTTTCCGTATTGCAACTCCACGTATACCTACAATGATTCCACTGAAACTGCTCTGCTACTCCGCAATAACGCTATGCTTCAACGGGGCCGTGCTACGCCGCTACCTCCGGGAGGAGTTACGTCTAGCGTTCCCTTATACTTTCCTGGTGCTTTTGCCTACGATCGCTCAGCCATTTTGCCAGTTATTTCTGGGAGGATTTTGCGGAGTGACGGTCTTTGCAGTCGCTTGTTATTATCTGTTCAGGAATTTACCCCAGAAATGCCTGAATCCGAGAGGGAAAGCCGTGTTTGTGACAGGTAAGAAATATTGGACAATGCATATACAGTGACAGTACAAAAAAGAGTATCCCAGAAAAATATGTATTGCATGTATGCAAAGGGCATAAGCAGTATCGGTACTCTAGTATTAGTGAAATCTAAATTCATGTATGATTCAGCATGAACCTGAAATGTATTATCCAAAAATAAACACATAACAATAGCTACATATATTTATAGGGCCTATGTAATAACATTACCATTTTTTTTACCATTTGTATAAAACTGCTCTTTTGTTTGTAACTACTCTTATTGTCAGCTCTTGAATTTGTATTTTTCATCCTTTAATATGCAGGACCATTATATAAAACAGCCTGCAAGCTGATCAATGTTATCCTGTTAAAAGATGTTTTGATAAATAAATAACAAAATAAATTAACCAATAAAAGGAACCATAAAATAGCATGAATGCTATTCGAGTCTGGTACATTTAGTACCACTACCAGACTCGTATATTATATATCCTTGCTTCATTATTTTATACAATCTGTTGCTAGTATCTGTAATAATTATCTCTAGTAGATCATGATCATCTGATCAATCTGATCCTACAGACATAATTATAGGATATATAAAAAAAACTATATAAGCTGAATATTATCTTGACACTATTGAAGAGAGGTATATGGCATTATGCATAATATTTAAATTTGATATATTTTTCCTACAGACCTCTTCCTTTTTTATAATTTTTTATTAGAATGATATAATAATTATAATATTGTTACTCAAAGACATTGTAGTAAATAATGATTGGTGATTTATTTTGTTTGTCAAAATTGATCTGTCAGCTCTTCATCTTTTTTCTGTCCCTTCCACTCTCCCTGAGACGTGTTCATGACGAAAACAAAATCCATTATGATATCATATGTCAATTTTCACAGATCAGTTTTATATGAGCCATCTCCTCTTTCGAAATGTTTATGACGCTCACTGAAACATTATATGTTGTCAATGGAAAGATAATTGTCAATATTTCTGCATAGCAATGGACTACAACAGTGAAATACTTGACTATTAGTTCTCCTTGACGCGTTCCTATATCGAAATTTTTTTTCAAGGAGAGTATGCAGGATTTCTAACCCACATTTTGACTCCTATATTTTACCATTACCAGTTTTCTGCTTTTTGTAATTATTTCATTGTAATAATATCTCTGCAATCTGCATGTCATCTATTATATCAGACCATGCAAACCGATGTTAGGTTAACTTCGAATGGTGGGCATCTTGGGAGGCATTTTAAATTTGACGAATTTCAATCGAGCTTGAGATCTTTAATTAATTACCAGGTTCGAGCCGAAATTTCAACATTTGGTTATAGATTTCCCCATATAAAAAAAAAAATGGATATGCCTACTACGCATACATTGAAGGACCTCCATGCATGTAGGCCCCCATTGTACAGATTTAGATGTTCAGTCATTTGTGCATAGCATATTGATTTATTCCTTTTAGCTTAGGTGAGACCCCCTGGCTTAGTCTGAGTTCATCGCTCTGATGTATTATGAGAGAAAGAGAGAGACAGAGAGAGAGAGAGAGAGAGAGAGAAAGAGGGGGGGGGGGTGAAAGGCAGGGGATATGTATTCTACCTGTAGGCACATACTCTAATTTGACATTATACACGATTCATAAGGCATTGAGCTGAGCCTAGGTCTACCTTTTCACGGACTGTGTTATGAGTAGATATAGTACAGTGCATGTAGAGTGCAGCACTAGACCCCGCAGTCTGCATTATAGTCTCTTAATTCAGACACTGTTTCACTTTCTACGACTTACAAGGGTCTGCGCTTGCAGACTATGGGTGATGCATGACAAACAAGGTACTGTTCAACGATTTTGGTTAGCGATTGTGACGTAAAGTGACAGTAGTGTCTCCTACTGAGAAAGGGAAACCCCCTTTTATTTGAGGCCAAAGAAAAATCACGTGATCACCATGCAGAGCTGCAACTGTGATGTGCAAAACAATTTTGTTCAAAATAGTTCACTTATTTTTTGTAATTGAACGTCTTAGGGCAATTTTTTAATCATAGTTTCCTTTCTAGTTTAATGTAAATTTTGGAATCATTGGATTTGATCTGGTCTATCTCTGACACGGGTTCAGACGCATCTCTCGGATGTTATTAGTTATTTGTGCTGCAAGACAAAGTTTATGCTCCAAAGTTATGGTTTTTAGTTTATATACACCTTTGCATAATAGTAGTGCTAATTAAGTTCCATAGGTTCGAGAAGATTAAAGCTTTCTAGATATTTTTGTGCATAATTTACAAAATAGATATATAGTCAAGCCGATGAGGACTTCACAGAACCATGCTACCCAGAGTTAAATACAAAACACTTATGCTGAAGAGGGAAGAACAAAGCACGCTATAATAATTTCCACCTTTCAGCATTATAATCTGCGTTACTTATTTTTAGGCATTCCTAAGCATTATGCCTATTATGACTCATGAGTTTAAGATTTAACATGTTGGTCTACCCAAAAGCAATCGATATTAAAGGTACTATGTCCCTTTTGCAGCCAATCTCAAATTATGTAGAACTTGGCAGGAATTATGAATATGTCATGTATGTCCTATCTGTGAAATTTAAACGTTGACTGACTGGCTTTTTTCTTCTTTGGTAATAACATACATAAAATGAGCTGTGAATGAGCATTTGTCTACATCAATAACCTACTTCTTGTGATGGCCAAAATTAAACTGGTTGAATCTTTGCGAAGCATAAAACGTATGACCATTCGGTACAATGGTCTGAAAATCAAAGACTATTACTTATTGGTTCTATAGCTCCTAAGTCGATTTGACAACTAATAGTCGTTATTTTCCCACTTTTCAAGCCCCACCTTTTGAGGGAAGTTTTAAATTAGTATTGTCTTTCAAATGCCGTTGGAATTTAACCTTTTCATTTTTTGGCCTGCAAATGGGACATAGTACCTTTAACCCATATGAGTATCAAATAATGACCGCAAAACAAGGAGAGGGGGGGGGGGGGGGGTTATAGGGGACCTAACAAATCACAGCGTAATACAAGCCGCTATTCTATTCTTCTGTGTGATGGTATGAAACATGATAGCAGTTTTCCGTACACGTTGCTAATTCTACTTTATTACTATGAATTTCTGCGGGTTGTTAAATAATAATAATAGTACCTGTGTACTGTGTACCACAGTACCAGTACATTATCCAGAAATTAGATGCCAGTGTAATGGTATGAATTTTGGTAAACGATTTTTAGCCTGTGAAGTGAAGTGTGGACTGGAGTTGAATCGAACAGAGACACGCGGCCTCAATCAGAATAATGGTAAAACAAGAAACGGGTTCGTGGAAAAATAGAAAAGAAGAATAATTGAACTCTTTTTGGGTATAATTATACACTAGCATGGTTGCACACTGACAACACTGATGCTTCTGCTAACCCTCCATGTCTTTGTATACAGAAGAAACATTGCTATTCCATTCCTTGAATAATAATGACAGGGTAGAAGTGATTTAAAGACATAGTAGTGGGTTTCATGGGGGATCTGACACCATTCTCGTGTTTACCCAATAACGTGTTATCAGTCACCAAGAGTGGACTTCACTTTTACGACAGACAGGTCATGTGTAGTAAGTGCATTGTGACCTATAGCATACCGCCTTATGGAAGTTTCATCATACATAATCAGCTTTCGCTTATTTTCTTAACGGACACAGATACTTCAAAACAAAATAAATTCCAATATTAAAAAAGAGTGATTTAAATGTAATATATACATTTATACAATTTGACTTTTTAAGTTTTTGGGTCATTTGATTATATTTCTGCATTTAAAAAAAAAACACGCAACCTCAATACATATTATGCAGGCTAGAGTATTTTATGATGGGACTACGGGTTCGCTGCTTCAGAGACCTTTGCACTCACAAAGACATTAATTGGTAATTCAATAAACTTGAGTGTCCGCGAATTATGATACAAATCACATGGCCACTAACTACTACAAATTATAAGGCGTTCGGTGAGATATTTCTGTGTAACAGATATGAAGCAATGTTTCGTTTGGACACAATGGGAGATCACTAATTCATTGAGTGATTTTCTTTCATTGATTTCCAATCACGAACTGACGATGGCCTATGGGGCAAACCTTTCCCAGCGCCTCGCATATTTTTCGTAATAGACAAAGATTCTTAAGATTGTCATATAACCTACAATTAAAAAGTATAGCCTAATTACCCTTATTCAAAAGTGACTCAAAACATTACTAGTAATAGGCCTATACATGTAAACAATTGATTAAAAAAATTAATTGTTTCGGAAATTTTTCAACATGTAGTAGAAAGTGATATACATACAAGGTACATTATGTTATGAAAAAAAGTAAAAGTAGATATACGATCCTATAATATAAATATATTAAGTAATCATACTTTTCAAAAAACATATAGTTGACAAATCATTTCAAAATTGAAAAATGCAGGAGACCACCGTCTTAAGCTAAACCTTAAACGTGATAACCCTTTAACAGGCACCCTATTTGCTATCCTCCTCGAAACACTGCAACAAACACTGTCTGTAATGAAATTATCGGCTCAGTATAGTCCATGATATCACCATTATTTATCCTCGGGCTCGTTGGAAGGGCTTATACCCAGCTTTTCTACTCGAGCGCGGGGCATTTAATTACGAGATCAATTTGCCAGTGATTTATGAAGCTGATTTTTTAAAACGATGAGTTTAATCTGATTTTCTGCGTCGGTTAGGGGCCCCTCGCCTGCAATATTTTGAAGATGTATGTTTAGCGAGAATAATAGAGATGGGAGGGAAGCATTATCAAATATGGAACCATATGGGCCAGTGTTCAAGAGATAAATGAAAAATGGTTTGATGGTGGTATACTAATATGGTGAGGTGAACATTGTGATGGGTCTACAACTCTACATACACTGTTCCCATGAAGTTGGAATAGTTATTTAAAAACTTCCTTTCATGAAATGT